ACCATCCAGTACTTTTTCAGGCATAGTAGAGATGCTGTGAGCTTGTAAACCTCGCTCGAGTGTCACTTTCCCCGCTCGAGCGGGGAGACCAAAATTGAATGCATTTTTGCATTTTGCTTCGGCCGCGAGCTGACCGGGCAGCTCGACCCCCGTCATAATCAGTGAAGTGGCAATCTTGAAAGCATTAACATCACAAACTTCTCTGAATGATACAATTCGGGTTGGATTCGCATCTAATAAACTCAGAACCTTACTAAAATAAAAGTGCTAAAACAAATACAACTGAAAGGAGTTTTGTCAAACGGGGTTGCCAAAAATAAAACCTAACATATGGGAAAAAGTTAGGGTTAGAAATTAGGGACAACCAGAGAGAGAGAGACAACAACCAAGTTACAGTTAGAGAAAAACCAAGTGAGGAGGACGCAGGCAGCGAAGCATCCAACAAATTAGGGTTAAAATTGGGAAAAAACAAGTTACGAAAGTGAGAGACGAGAATGGGGATAGCGAGATAAAGAAGAGGGGGGATGGAGGTTGGAAAAACGAGAAGAGGGAAGAGGGAGCTCAGAAAAGCGAGAAGAGGGTAGGGGGAGAGAGAGTGAGGTGAAAACAGGGAGCGAGAGAGAGAGAGAGAGAGAGAGAGAGAGAGAGAGAGACCTGTTGTAGAGAGCGCCGGCCGGTGACGTGCGGGTTAACCGGTGCGACAAAGATAAACGGACGGTGTGACGGAGATGTATGGATGAGGGAATGACAGAGAGAGATATCAATGGTTCAATTTTATTTTTTATTGATTTTAAGCATTTGGTGACGAAATTTGGTTTTCCTTTCTAAAAATAATACGTTTGGAGACGAAATTATTTCGTCTCCAAAACGGCGCCAAATCTTCCGCCAAATTTTCAAGGGCCAGAAATTGTTTTGTGACAAAAAATAAAATTTAGAGACGAATAAAATTTTTGTCACCTATTATTTTATTTGATTTTAAGCATTTGGTGACGAAATTTGGTTTTCGTCTCTAAAAATAATACAATTGGAGGCGAAATCTTATTTTCATCACTAAAACGTGCATATTTGGAGACGAAATATTTTTTCGTCACGCGTTTTCGTTACCATAGACCTTTTTTGTTGTAGTGTTTTTTTTTTCCAAAACGATACATTTTCAATGTATGAATATGAAACAATGTTTGAATGCAAAATGTATGAGTGAAAGGTTTTAATTTAATCTAGTCCTCATGAGATTTCTACAACAATCAAAACTATCCTCTACCGATGACCCGAAACAAATATCTTTATATAAGAAATAAATTCAAGAGATAGGCATAAATATAAAGTTTCAAACTTGGACTAACAATACATGTTCAACTCCATTTTTTAACCCAACATATATTCTTTCCCAAAATTCACATTTTGAAAGCAATTTCTCATAATCTCCAATACCAATACCTTTCCCATCTCATTTCCAAGAAAATAATTCAAAACCCCTCTTTTACCCTCCAAAATCAAACCAAAACCAAATCCGAAATCAACCCAAGATACTATTCTATTCAAGAGCACATATAACGATTCTGATTTAGACCGACTCGTTTATTGTTTTGGATCCGGTATTATTTATCTTGATGGCTGTTCATGTCCTTGTTCATTTTATTTCGTGTTGAATTGGGTTGTATAAGCATTGTGGTTACGTTTGAAACAAGTTAGGAGCTTGTTTTTCAAAAAAGTCTTTGCCCAGAATTTTGCTTCTTCACTCAAGCGAAGCTTCTTAAGCTTGAGTGTTTTTTTTTTACAATCTGCAAAATTATTGAGAGTTTGATATCTACGCTCGAGTGATGCTTCTTACACTTGAGCGAACTTTTACATGTCTGAACTACTATGAGGGGTGCATTGTGCGCTTAAGAGACCATTCTTGCACTCGAGCGGTGTCTTCATTTGTGTCTGGTTGCTCGAGCAACAATTCCTACGCTTGAGCGGTCTACAGGTATATCAATCCAAGAAATACACTTTTTGAGTCATTTTCTCATATCTCTCTCTCTCTCTCTCTCTCCCTCTCTCTCTCTCTCAACATTCCAAAACCTAGATCTCTTTTTTGTTGTCTTTAGAAACCATCTCTAAAACCTCAAACACATCTTGATCTATGGATTTCTATACCAGTGTCCTTTGGGAAAAAGGGTAGAGCTTGCCTAGAACTTCCTTTTGATAGGAGCAAAGTTGATTTTCAGCTTCATTAAAGTTTCCTCTCTCTCTCTCTCTCTCTCTCTCCCTCCCTTGTCTTCTTGCTTTAAGATAGGGATTTTTCCACACTTTTGTATAGTTTTTAACTTAGTTATTTGCTTTTCTAAACAATATTTGTGATTTGGAAATTTTTGGATAAACTTAGGGTTTTGGCTTTGAAATCAAAAAAGGGGTTTTTTAAATGGTTTCTTTGGAATGGTTGTGAGTAAATGTGATTGAATGGTAGTAACATAGTGAATTTTTACCCTTAGAATTAATTTATAAAGAAAATGAAGTTCTACCCTAAAATATGACATTTGATTTTGTAAAGAGGATATATAAATGATGTTAGGTTTTATGAATTTGGAATGATAATGATGATGGTGGTGGAGTAGGATATGCATTATCACTCCCATATTGGACTTTTTGAAAGTTTATCTTTATTGAAAATTATTTATCTGTTTAAAGATTTCTGTTTTGGGATATCGATGGAGGATAGTTATGATTGTTGTAAAAATTGCATGAGAATTAGGAGAATTGAAACTAATTTTTCATCCATTTGCATTGAGTGTTGTTGCATACTTAACACATTGAAAATGTATATTGTTTTGAGAAAAAATGGTGAATACTTTGGTGAATCTGGGTAGTAAGTGTGGTAGTGGTATTATTGTTGGCCTATGTGTTCTTGGTGAAGGTCTATAAACCTGCACAGTTAGGTGTCGAGCCTTCCGGTTAGTACCAGTAAAAATAGCAATTGGTAGTATTTGTATAACTTACTTACAGACACGTACCTAGAGATTCATAGCGTTGTATCCAGTACCCTATTTTCTATTGAAAAAGAAAATGATTTCATGAATTGTGATATAATATGGCATTATATGATTTTGGAAAGAGATATAAAACGTTTTGACACAAGCATTACGTATGCATTCACCTTATGGCTTTGTTAAGATTCATATACTGTGTTAGAGTATCTCTACTGGGCTTTAGTTCACCCTATGTGGAAAATCATTTTCGGTACTGATGACATGCCTCCGCCAAGGCCGTAGTTTAGGAAGACTTGGAGCCGAGAGCTTTCTTTTGTTATTGTTGTAATTATTTTTGTACAAGCCTAGGGCTTAAACTGTATTGAGTTAAAACTCACTTTTGTTGTGACTAAGTATCATCTTGCAAAGTTGTAGTTAATAGGGCATTTAATTATCTGTTTACCTTTTTTTTTTTCATATCATTAATTAGTGGCACATGCTATAGATTCAGGGTTAAGACTTATAAATGTATAACTGCATGTGTTGTTTTTTGTACAATGAAATCATATGAATGGAAGGATAATATATTCATAATTGTATTTTTATTTAATGATTGTCATGTGATGAATTATGATTATTATTTCAGGACATTACAACTTGGTATCAGAGCTACTGGATTTGAACGCTTTAGGGTGGTGGGATGTAGTTTTTACTACAATGGGTTATCTCGCTAGTTAAAATTAGAAGTAAACCTGATATGCTGTGTGATAACATCCTTATGTGACTAAATGAGTATGCCAAACTCAAAAATTTTCTTTATTCACACAATTAAAAAATTCATTTCCAAATACAATAATTTTTCTTATCTCTTAAAATAGTCAAAAAGCCATTCAAAATGTTAATTTCAAACAACTAAATTAAAATAGTTAAAATTTACTTATCTATTTTTTAAAATTATTTTTGATTAATTAAAAAATAAATTTATTTAGAATAATGCTATATGCACCAATTAGTGTACTAACTAGTGTACCAATTGATAATGTGACATAATTTAAAAGTTTTTAGTATTTGTAATTTATATAATGAGTGGAATCAATAATAATATTATAACTAATGTTAATATTAAGGGTGAACAGTAGATATACCGATCCGCCTAAACCAACTAAATCGAAACCAATTCACCACATTTTAGACAGATGTGTGATGACGAGCGGACGGTTAAGGAATACTTTTTCCAATACGCCTAATTTTAGACGGATGACGAATATGAGATTCCTTTAGCCGCAACCAAACCGCTAAACTGCGAGCACCCTTAGTAATTTTTAATATTTTGTGTTTTCAATTTGTTTAGATATTCCGTTTAGGTTTTCAATTGAAAATGAGTTTAAATATTCTGTTGAATATATTCTGTTGAAAAAGAGTTTTCGACTTGAATATATTTTTTGAATTGAAAAAATTACATGTATTATTTATCTATTTTTTATTTTTAAATCTAATTCTAAAAATAATAAATAAAAAGATGATATATACTGGTTAGTTTTTGTTTTCAAAAACATATATAAATGTAACAATACAGAGGCATACAATTTCTACTACTGCTCTGTTTATGGTTTTGGTATTTTGAATTGATTTTATATTTTAAGAACCACAGATTGTAATACTTTATGTTGATAAGGCATGTTGTGATTATAATATATAGATGAGACATGCACTGATTGTAATATTCTAAAGTTTCAAACTTTCTTTTTTTGAATGAAAAATGCAGTGATTGTAATACTTTTTTTAATTATTGATTGTAATACTTTTATTTTTTAGAAAGTGCTTAAGTTGAATTATATTAAAAATTTATAAAATTTTAAACCGTGAAATCGATTCGCATCCATCCGCTAATCCGTTCAATCCATATCTGCCAAATTAGGGGACAGATGCGGATTGATTTTCTCAAACCCACCAATCTAATGGACAAATAACGAATTAGAGATGAACAAATAACGAATTAAAGGTTCCGTAACTAAAACCAACCCACGCTTACCCTTAATTAATATATACTAATTAACTCATATAGTATCACAAATTTATTTATCATTATTTAATCCGGTACATAGCGCGAATTCTACGCTAGTTGAATAAGGAAGAAAGGGCAAGTTAAAGATTTCCTTGTACTACACATATATCAAAATAAAACAGAAGCTCCAAAAAAATGAGACCCTGAAATTTACATTGAGCTAAAAAAACAAAAAAGGGCCCCACTTACATTACCCCCTGGTGTTTGTCAACTAGCTTCACGTGAACCCAACCCCGACAACACATAACAAAAAAAGCATGGATTGTCAAAAGATGCTAAAAGCACCACCAGAGAGAAGACAAAGAAGCAGCCAAACTGAGTCTGAGTATTTACACAGACGACCATACCAGAGACACAATAATAATGATTAGGGGCAAAATTGGAAACCAAAGACTGGCCATCAACGACGATGACGAGGACGAATCGGAGTATTGGAACTGCAGAGAATCGACGGCGAGAGGCATGTTCTCCTGGTCGGGGCTGCACTTGGATTCCTGGGGTGGGTGCGCACTGTACATGATAGCGCGCAGAACAGCCGACACAGTAGGTATGTACGCCGTCTTGTTGCGGGCTAGTAGCCACGTCAGCCCCATTAGCTGGCAGTCTCTGTTGAGCATCTTGCTTGCTCTATTGTCACCTTCTTCTTCTTCACTTACGTTTTTGCCCTCGCCCTTTAACTGCAAGCACACAACATATGCAAGGGCCTTTTAGACTATACACGTCGATCCATTCAAAACAACGCAAATGAGACGATGGTTTTGAATCTTGGTTTAAAACATAAAATGATAGATTAATATAAATCATATTTAGGCTCCGTTTAGTTTTAGTTTTTTTTCTTTTTTTAAAAAAAAAATTATTCACCTTGCTTGGTTCCATTTTTCTAAAAACAGTTTTCAGAAAATTATACTTTCTTATTTTCCGTATTTTTTTATTTTTACTGATTTTTTTTAATATTTTATGCAAATTTTTTATTTTTTAGACACATCTAACATAAATATACTTAAAAAATAAAAAAATTGTAAAAAAAATCTTTTAAATATTCACTAAATACAAAAAATACAAAAAAAAATACAACAATTCAGTATTTTTTTTGTATTTTTATGTATTTTTTAATTTTTTAAAATATTTTTTCATAATTTTTTTACTTTTTAGATACATCTAAGTAAGGTACATCTAAAAAAGTAAAAAAAAATGTTTAAAATTTTAAAAAATTCACTAAAAACAAAAAAATACGAAAACTAAAAAACTCAGTTTTCAAAAAACTTAATCCAGAAAACTCAAACCAAACACACTGATTAACTTTTTAGCTAATTAGACTTCATTTGATAACAGACTTTTTTAGTAATTTTTTAAATTTTTGACTAAAATATAATTTAAAAAAAAAAGTAATATGTTTGGGATTAATTTTTAATTTTTTATGAAAAGATGTGCAACAGATAAATAGAAAAAAGAATCTTTAACTTTTTGATATAAATTGTTAAAGTTTTTATTTTTTTAATAAGTTTTTTGATTTTTAAACTAAAAAGTAAAATATTGCCAAACGAGACTTTAAGATTTAAATAAATAAATAAATGATAAAAACTAACAATGAGAGGAAAAAAATCCGCCCAAGGTGAAAAAGAAAATGTAACTTTTCATCATCTACCCCAAACACATCAAAAACAGAGCTTGATCATAAAAAAATTATTACCAAACCAACCCTTGAGAAGATGTTAATTACGGGTTTTCTTGTACGAGTCTGATTAATAGGGTTATCAAATTATGAAATCAGAATTAATTACATATTATCATATTTGATTATATTTAAAAATGATGTTAATTACAACATATAGTAGTGATGTTGATTATGGCTACCGGTATCTATAATTATGTTTGAAAGTGAAGTTAATTACCGCCAAATATAATTATAATTAATGACTTAAATCTACTCTCTAAAATTTAACCATTGAAAAATAATAGTGCATATGTAATTCTTAAAAAATAAAAATAAAAATGTGTTGTAGAAATAAATAACTGATATAATTATGATACTTATCATATAATGATATCATCAATTAATAAGAAATCTTATATTGTAATAATATAAACAATATTATTTGGTTGTGAGGTTTGTGGAGGTGATATCCATCATAAAATAGTGTAGTGAAAATTACTTGATCATGAAAATTACATCATTGAATTTGAATGAAAAATAAAAAGATATTTGCTTAATTCTATTTATAATACTTTATTAATTTTAGTTGCAACATCACCCAAAAGAGTATCATCATTACATGTAATATTGTTTTAAAGCATTGCTATTGAAATTTAAAAAAATAACAATGATTATTGGATTATGAGAGTACAGTCACGTAATACTTTATTATATTATAATTGATTAAAAATATTAAATATTATAATTTTATATTGAGTAATTGAGAAACGTGATAAAATATAAGTTTGTTTTGGAAAGTAAATTTAAAATTGATTTTTTAATTTTTTTTAAAAATAAGATAAAAATATATAAAAATAATGTAATTCAAAATAAATTAAAAATTAATATTTAGCTAAATTCCTAAAACAGCTAAATAATAAGGATATGTGGTTTTTTTTTTTTTTTAAGAAAATCGTCCCACTCTCTCATATTAAAAAATTATAACCTAAAAAATTATCCTGATCAAAAATAAATTCCACTCAAGAGAGATGTGGTTTGGTTGGAACGGGGGGTGTTAGACAAAAAGAAATATTTAAAAACACTAGGCCTTGTTTGGCATAGACTATATAATTCATCTTTTTATCTTTTTTTCATCACATCACCTCTCTACTTTTCTGCACATCTTTTCATAAAAAGACAAAAAGTACACTTTTTTAGGACACCCAAAACCAACCCTTAAATATGGAGTTGTAGAAGAAACTTTTAGTGAGCTAGTCTTCATAATGTGATGGCTGTGCCTTTTTTTATTTTATTTTATTTTTTTTGATTTTCCAGGGTTTAATACTCCTTTTTTTTAGAGAGATGTAACATGCGTAAATTTCATCCTTATATAAAAAATTCAATAAATTATTTGAGATCCTAATATTACTTAAATAATTATATAACATGAATTACCAAAGAACCCCCGCTTTGTTACAAAAATTAAATTATTATTTTTTAAAATTCTTCAAACGTCATTTTATATAAAATTAAAAAATTAACAAAAAAATTAAGAATAAATTACAAATAAATCTTTTAAAATTTATTTAAAATATGATTTGTCTATTGTGATTATATCTCACTTTGAAATTTTTAATTTTACATATTTTATTAATAAATCATCAAATTAATTACAGTTTGTGAAAATTTTAAAAATTTATTTTAATTAATAATTCAAATATAAATTAGAAAAAATTACAAATTAGTAATCCTTTTACAATATGTTTACAAATTAATGAAAAAATTTAGGAAAAATTACAACAACAAAAAAAACAATATTTGAGTCTTGTAATAAAATAAATTTAAAATTTCAATATTATCAATTTAAATCTTAATATTTTAATTTATTTTTAATTTAAATTATTTACATATTTTCGTTAAGTAAAATTAAAGAGAAAAAAAAATATTTTAATCATTGAACTCAATATAGATATACATAAAATATCTAAGATATACTTTTCATTGAATTAAATAACTACAATATTAATTTTTTTATTATGAAAATTGACAAATAATTTAAATTAAAAATTTATTTTGTTACAAAACTTAAATCCTAAAATTTTCTTTTGATAATTGTCCCAAAAAGTTATAAAAATTGAAAAATTTTACCACATACTTTCTTTTTCTTTTTCTTTTTTTAAATCCTAAAAACAAAAGCAAAGAGCGTTTTCAAAAAATCAGTTAAAATTTCAAGTTTTTGATTCCATACGATATGATTCCGAATCAGAAAACATACCTTTTGTAGAGCTCCAAGGCACTTAGTGCAACCAGCGTACGACGAATTCCGGCAATTACGCTCCAGATTCTTCACGGCGGCTGTCGGCGTCGCATTCCTACCGGCGGTGACATTGAAGGCCGCCGGACAACTAAGCGACGTGATCTGGTGGAGCCGAATTCCACAAAAACAGAGCACAGCGTCACACGAAGCGTTAGGCTGAGGAATATGAATATTGCGGCTCTGCAACGAGCTCTGGAGCGAGATAACACACTTCTGTGAGTCGTCCGGCATCATCGGAAGGTCAGACGACGTCGTCGGAGCCTCCGCAGCCGTAGGAACTTGCAGCGCCGACCGAGCGTGAGCTGCGAAAAGCCACGCCGCCAGCACGGGGCAGCACCGGCTCCGATCTAGGTTCCGACCGCACGCGGCGTTCACGCCGCCGAAGAGCTCAGCCGAGAGGTCGAGCTGGCAGGTAGGTGTCTCGGTCTGGACTGGAAACGCTGGGACTGTGTTCGGAGCAGAGTAGTCCCCCGGTTTGAGAGGTTGAACCGGTTGGTCGAGTAAACCGGCGAGTGATCGATCAAAGTGTAATAATAAGAAGGCGAAAAGGACTATGAAGACGGTTAATTTGTCCATTGTTGTGTGTGTGAGAGAATTCGAAATCATTGGATTTTGGTGTTTGGTTTAGAGTCGCTTGAGTACAACTTTCATTTCTGAAAGTAATGGAGAGGTTTTGAGGAGGAAAAAGAAGGAAAATGAGTGGGAAAATTACTTGGAAATTGGAGAGAGGAAAAAAAAGAGTCCTTTGAGTCTGCTTTTTTTTCTGTGTGTCTAAATAAGCTTTTTGTTGGTTTTTACAGACTACTTTCCATGTTTTGAGCCAAAAGAAAGGGATTCAGGAGATATTCGGGTTGTTTTAGAAAAGAAAAATGTTTGATAGTTCAAAATTTTGTGATTTAAATGGCTTAAATCACTCAAAATCACATTATTTTATACTTATTTAAATTCAAAACGATATCGTTTTTAGTGATTTGAGTCATTTGACCCACACAATTTTAATCTACCTAGCATTGTTGCTTAGAAAATATGTTAAATGCTAAATTTTTAATTAAAAAAAATCAAAAAAAATAATGTAATTAAAAATAAGTTAAAAATTAAAAAAATCACTTTTAACCTTTTATCCAAAATAAGCTTTCATCAAAGGAGAATCAAATTCAGTTTCAAATCCTAAATGGGGAGGAAGAAGTGGTTCTCTCTCTAAAATGGACTGAGAAATGTTGCAGAGGGGGGAGGAAGAGAGACAGGATTTGGTAAAGGATCTCTCTTGGGTTATGGGTGATAATGGGTGACGCTCCAAGTGGACAAAACAAATAACGTCTGTTTCTTTCTTGTGTTATCTTCTTTGTTTATAAATTTTTGTAAATGGTATATAAAAACTTGGTTTCTTTTTTTTATCTATTTTTTATTTTTGAAAATTTGTAAACAATTTATAAAATTTATTTAATTTTTATAACTATAAAAAAAGCTTAATTTTATTTGTTTAAAGAAAAAAAAAATCATATCTCCTCTTATTGACTTAAATTACCATCCACCATTCATCTTTACAACTGACCACCCTAACTCTAGTCATCCATGCCATTTCCATCTCCAACTAATACATCTTCTACAAATCAACTTTGGCTACCACTTTCTACATCTAGTCATCATCTTTAACCTTCGACAATTATTTTTTTGTATCATCTCTTATAGTCGACAGTCACCGCCAACCACCTAACTACCTCTAGTAGGCAAAAATAATCTCTACTCATCACTTTTTCTTAGTCAACAATCACATTTAACCAACCTCTACACTTATCGACAACCATCTCCTATAGATTATTAATTTCACTTATTTTTAAAATAAAATTTTAAAATATGTATATTAAATATACTTTTTCTTTTTGATTTTACTAAAAATAAAATAAATATGTTTAATTTTTGTGAATGAAATATGATAACCTGTAAACATTAATAAATGTTACCTAAATGGGAATTAAAGTAAATTATTTTATTTTAATTGTGAATTGAAAATTAGAAAAATGAAAAAGAAAGTGGAGGAAGAGAGAGGAGGCCGTGAAGTCCTTTTCCTGTTCATTCTTGGATCATCCTTCTTGTGGCATATGCGAAAGTGCGTCTTGTGTGAAAATAATATTACAATATTTATAAAATTTTAAATAGGATTAATTATCGAGATTTACTTAAAATAATATTATTTTTTATGATTTAAAAAATTATAAATATCTCTCTATTAGAATTTATTATTTAACAGAATTAATTAAAAAATAAAATTCATAATTATTCTCCTATATAATAATAAAATTACATAAATTATTAATGGAAACATGTTTCTAACATCATTAAAAATTATTAATTGACTTGATAATTTATTAATAAAAATGACGATTTTTTATGAAATTAGAAGCCTCAGACAGCGAAATGTAATTTCCAAAATCACATGAGACAATTCATATTTTAATCAAACCTCGAGTGGTGTATTTATGATTTACCCCTTTAAATAGTATACCTCGTTTAATAGAATTCAGAGTGCCTACTGTGCACCCAACACAGTGTGTTACCTTATGGGCTCATTTTGAGGTCCAATTTGATAATCGAACCATTCACATTTTAGAGTACATTAAGTAGAATATACCTATAAAAAATCAAATTAATCGGATATCGTTAACTCATTCATTTACTCACATTTGTATTCATTTTAATATTTTAAATCACAATGTCATTTATTTTTGTAAATACAAATGTGAATAGATGAAAGAATTAACGATATCCGATTAACTTAATTTTTTATAAATATATTCTACTTAATATATTCTAAAATATAAACTGTTCAAATTAACCAACCGAATCCCCAAATGAACCCATACTGCAGCACAGCATAGATGACTAACACTCGCCCCGGCTTATATTATTTGTCTATCTTTTCTTGCGAATGTTTTAAAATATTTATCTATTTTAAAAAGTCAAAACATAAAACTCTAAAAAATTTCAAAATTACCCTTTAAAATTATAACAACCGTGCTAAATACCCCCACTGGGGGTCGACCCCCAGTGAGGTGGCAGGCCCTGATTCGCTGAAAATCCAAAAAAAAAAAAAAAAAAAAAACAGTTTTTTGTTTTGGCCAATGGGAGAGCAACAGACATGACCCCCAGTGACCCCCACTGGGGGTTGAGGCATTTTTGAAATTATAAATATATTTAATAATGTGAATAAAAGGCATAATATGGTAAAATAATATATTTGGATTTGATTTCAAAATAAAATAATAATCATATGTCCTATTAAAAAGTTAGAATCCCTATGTTTGATTGGGTGGATTAGAGCATGAGATTGAGATTATTAATTCGTAGGCCTAATTATCCTATGTTTGTTTTAGCATTTTGGTTTAGGATTATTAATCTAATAGATAATTAATCCAACAAATTTGTATGATTATTAGTAATGGGGTAGGGTGGGATTATTAATCCAATGGATATTAATCCAATTGGATAGTAAATACCACACTAATTTAATAGGATTATTAATACTTCACTATTAATTTTGTGAATCAAACATGACTAAAAGGGACTATTTTTGTGGAAAGGAGGGAGTATTTCAACATATAACTATAAAATATAAGTAAAATGTACTTATATTTCACACGCATTTCACATATCTTTATCCATTTCCTTTATTTTTAATTTTCTTATCAAATTCGTGAACCAAAAGCATTAGTTTTTTTGTTTTTAATTCTAAGTTTTAGTGTGCTTGAAAAACAAAATAAAATTGTATCTAAAAAGATTTTCACTTATTTGTAAATACGTACATTTTTTTATTTTGTTTTGTTTTGTTTTATTTTTATTTTTTTTGTAAAAAAAAAGATTTGATTCATATAAGATATTACAATGAAATCTAATGAATAACAATTATAATAATGAATATTAAATAGAACACAAACTTTCACTACTAAAAATCGAAACTTTTGCGACGGTCTTAAATGTCGCAAAAGGTGCACATGTCGTCGCAAAAGATTTTTGAGACGAAGTAGCGATGAGAATGGGAGATGGTGGAAAGGGGTTGACAAAAGGTATTTGTGACAGTAATAGATTGTCGCTTTCCTGTAGCGCGACAAATCAATGGTTTTTTCAACAGTGTAATCTGACACACAAAAAAAAAAGGAGAAAAAACTTTATTTTTAGTGATAGTTTAAGTTTTCGTCATCCAAAACTTTTTTAGAGACAGTATTTGACGTTGTGAACAGAATTATTAGCGACAATCTAGAACGTCGTGAAAAAATATAATTAAATTAAAACCGCATTCGCAACGGTTTAAACTGTCGCTAAAGATTTGAACTAATACATATATGCTAGGGGTTCACCCGTTGCTAATAGAATGCAAGGAAATGATGATTACATTAGCGACGGTTTATTATTGTCTCAATAAAATTATTTTCATAAAATAAATATATATTTTATTAATTCATTCTTTGTACAAATTATTAATATTTTTTTCAAAATAAAATGTATCCATATCCACACACGTCCACATTCACATTAACAAAATCATACGAATAATATATATATATATAGATATACCCTATAACAATACAGGGTTCACCCGTTGCTAATAGAATGCAAGGAAATGATGATTATATTAGCGACGGTTTATTATTGTCTCAATAAAATTATTTTCATAAAATAAATATATATTTTATTAATTCATTCTTTGTACAAATTATTAATATTTTTTTTAAAATAAAATATATCCATATCCACACACGTCCACATTCACATTAACAAAATCATACGAATAATATATATATATACCCTATAACAATACAGTGTCAACTAAACATTCTTTACAAAAAAATATATAAAACATCTTCCAACAATACTAATACTTTTAAATAATTCAAGAACTCAAATTTTTGTATCTAAAACAAAACAAAAGTATCAACAATACTGAAAAATCTAAAATCTCCAAAATATTGATTCGTGATTGTGTTTCAATTTTAAATGGTGAATACCAATCCCAATCAAACAATCAATAACAAAACAACACAATGATTTAACGTGGAAAAAAAAAACCACAATTGAAGCGCCTCCAATTGTGATATATATATATATAAAAAAGGGCCAAAGCCACAAAACAATCCACTAAGAAGACAAAGTGAAAGTACACATGTGTACCCTCAATTGCCTAGTGAATTCATACCCTAATTGAACCGATCCCGATGTGCCTATTCTACCATTGTCTTCACTTCTAAGTTGTCTTGCCCAACGTTGAATCCATAATGCTGATGTCGAATCTACGATGATGGGCCACTTTGGAATCCACAAAAACTTCAGGCCCAAGTTTCCCAAACTTCACCGAAGAACACCTCTCTCTTTGTGAATAAAAGAATACAGACAAGCCCTTTGACGATGTCAATATTAAACTCGTAGCACTTTTAAAAATAGCCTCAAATATAAAATACATTGGTAGCTATGTTCTCCTAGAATTTGGATAGCTTAAACACTAAAAATAGCCAACGCCGCACTTTATAATAAACAAGATCGTGAAGACCGCACAAGCACACACTTCACTGCTCGAGCGGGTGTGAATAAAGGTGGTGCAAAACATATAGGCCCACCACTCAAGCACATATTTTATCGCTCAAGCGGTGAAACATCTTTCCGAGAAGTTCAATTTGCAGGTAGAGATACTAGATGCTCATATTCACCGCTCGAGCGCACAAATCACCGCTCAACCGGTCAACCAACTTTGGCTTCAAGGGAACTGCCCCTCGGCCCCTCCTGGCCGCTGCCCCCTG